TTTAAATAAATTTTACTCTAAAATGATGTTAAACTCCAAAGACAATTCAGAATAAAAAAATTATCATACAATCCAAGTGTAATCCAAAAACAACCACAAAAGGCAAACAAATAAGTTTTTAATATTGATAATATTTGTATCACTTGTCTATTTATAATATCAGAGTCTTGAATAGATAAATCTATAATATTTTTCTCTCTTGAAACATCTTTTTTTATCACCATATACAATATAATAAAACAAAATACTAACTAATAATATTGAAATACAAAATAATAAATAATTAAATTAAATTAGGTGGGTTGGTGAGCCAACCCGGCTCACCACGGGTTCAACCCGAGTGAGCCGGGTTGAAAACTAACCCACATAAAAAATTTACATTTTTTTCAAACCCAACTTGGCTCAAACCCGTGGTGGACCAGGTTGGCTCGCGAGTCACAACTCATTTTGACAGCACTACCTCAATGTATGCCTTATATATAGAATGTAAAGAAAAAGTATAAGGGAAATAGTTGTTCAACATTTCTGGATTTTCATTGAATGTTCATAGACAATAACCATTAACTTTGAAGATTCTGTCAGAAGATTCTTGCTTGATCTCCACCACTCCAAAGGGAAATAGTTGTTACGATGAATGAGCCTTCCCATTTGGAGCGCAACTTACCACTCATGGGCCCTGTCCTGAACTTGTACAATAACACCTTTTGACCTATGTTGAAATCCTTTTTGGTCACAAGCTTTTGGTCATAGAATTTCTTGGTTTTCTCATTGTAGAAATTAAAATTTTCATAGGCCGTGAATTTAATATCCTCTACTAGTTCTTGTTGTTGGAGCTTTTGTTCTTTCCATGCTCCTTCCATGTCCAAATTACAAGCTTTCACAACCCAATAGGCCAATGTTGAATCTCCATAAGTAGATGACAAACCTTTTCGAAAACAACCCTGAAAGGTGACATGCCTATTGGTGCTTTGTAGGTCGTCCGATGTGCCAAAAGTGCATCAACCAATCATGCGACCCAATCCTTCCTATTTGGCTTTACCAGCTTTTGCAATATCTTTTTGATCTCTTTGTTAGAGACCTCAACTTTTCCATTAGTTTAGGGATCATTATTTCTTGTAGTTATAACTTCCACCCACTTGGAAACATAGTCTACAACGAGTTAAATATAACAAAACCTAGAAGAAGAAGGAAAATGATCCATAAAGTTAATACCTCAAATATCAAATACCTCACAATATAACATGGGTTGTTGAGGCATCTCTTCCCTTACGGTAATGGATCTGACTGCCCTTTGACATTGCTCACAATTTTCATATGTGCCATAAGAATGGTTCATCCCATACATAGTACTTTGCCTCACTTTTCAGCTTGTACCTCTCAGAATTGGAGAAAGATGGAGGAATAGCAGACACAACCAAATAGTTAACAATGTCAGAAAACCAAGGCTTAGGGTACATACATTTTATAGTGGTTAGTGCTAGTAAGACTTCATCAGGAAAGTCATTGGGAATAGGAATGCCATCTTCTTCCTTCTCAATCCTACTAAGATGGTGAACTACTAGGTTGTATGCCTCACTTCTGTATTAAAGTTCAATGTCAAACTCTTGGAGCAATAACATTCATATAATCAACCTTGGTTTGGAATATGCTTTCTTTAGAAGGAAATTCAAGGAAAAATGATCAGTATAAATAATTACCTTGGATCCAAGTATGTACGATATGAATTTATCCAAGGAAAATACAACAACTAATAATTCCTTCTCGATTGTGGTATAATTAGCCTGTGTAGTGTCCAATGTCCGGGAAGCATAATATATCACATGTGGTAGCTTCTTATCCCTTTGTGCAAGTAATGCTGCCACTGCAAAGTTTGATGCATCATACATCAACTCAAATGGCAATGTCCAGTCAGGTAGATGGATGATGAGAGTAGTAGTGGGTGTTCTTTGGTAGGTCATTTCCTGAATAGGCTAGCCATGTGAAATGGGCTCTTAGAGGCTAAGCTGGTGGGTGAGAAGAAAGAACTAAGCTAAATTATTTTCCTTCAAATCCATAGAGTAAAGGATCTTGGACTTATGGTGAGTGAGAGTCTCGCTAGTCAAATTTATGGGAATTCACTTCCAATACTTGCTCGACAAGCAAGCCAACACTAAGCACAAATATTTGTTTTAAAAATAGAAAGCTTTGTTTTTGGCTTTTCATTGGATGAGCCATGTTATCATTGAGTGAGCTTATCTTCAAAGGTGGCTCGAAGCGAAATTGAATTTTTTATATGTATGATTGAGTAAAGTTAAACTATTTTAGACTTTTTGTGTATTTAACTTATTGAATGAGATAAGATATGTGATTGTGTGAGTGATATGATTATAGTGAATCTTAAGGAAGGAGTTCTACATTGAATTGAGGTTATGTGGTCTATTGAAAAATGATTATATTAGAGGAAGATATCTAGTGATGAGAGTCGATGGAGGCTCCTACAATCTAGAATTTCAATATGAAAAAAAGGTCGAAGATACAAGGAACTTAATCTAGTTATGCTCACGATGGACTTTAGTCTTAATGCAAATCTATATCTCCTGGAAGGCAGGAGTCAGTCATGATAGATGTATTTTCTTTGAGTTCATTCATTACACTAGTCTTTTAAAAGTAGAGTTAGATGTCTATGATGTGAGTGGGTCTCGAGGATTGAATTGAGAGGACTGTGTTGTGTGATAAACATTTAATTTTTTATGAGAATTATGTAAGCATGATGATGGTGATGATATTATATGTAATATTTTTTAATTTTCATTAGCTTACCGTTTGTTTTTGTGTTGTAGCATTATTGGGTTAGACTCCAAACTATGTGTCTACAAATTCTAATCTAGTTAAGTCCATTTTGTCTCATTATTTAATCTAAGTGGAGAGGGATTTTTCTCTTCAAGAGAGAGTGTATTTTCGCAGCCCTTGGAAGAGAGAAAAAAGAGAGAAAATTTGTTAGCATATTCACCCTGCTATCTCAATAAAATTATGATATCCACTTCGTTCATAGTTGGATTATGCTAAAATTTTGACAACAGGTTTGTGGATTAAAGTTCTTCATTTTGATTATTAGTTCATCAATCAAAGGTTTGAGTTTAGAGAAATCAGTCCCTCAATGTTATTCATTTTAGATTTCTTTTTTTTTTTATAATTCATATTTAGAATATTATTGCTTTGATGTATTGGCTAATTATAAACACTTGTTTTGGTGCTTTGATTTGTATCAATATTTGATCTTAGTGGTGCTTGATTTATTGATTTGTGTACGTAGAATTTTACTTCTCACAATGAAAAGATTTTTCCACATTAAAAATATTGGTATTCTCTTGTTGTCGCTTTATTTTATTGTTACTCCTTATAAATTCGGGATTTATTTATGCTACATACTTTGGTACTTTTAGTTATTGTTATTATTTCTTCCATTAAATATTTATTTACAATGAGTACGTGAGTAGACAGTAATACAAAATGCAGGAAATAATAGTGAGAATTTGAGATGTTAAGATAGAGTTATGTATATATACATATGATTGTACAAAATATTTACAAAATTTAAGAATTTTGTACATATTCATTAAAAAAATCTTAACGTGAACTAGTGTATAAATATGTATATATTTATATTTTTCATTATCTAAATATGTAATGATTGGATCAGTAGTATTTATCTCTTTACAACAAAAATATATTCGAAATTAAGTATTTTAATAAAATTTTTAATTATCTTTTCAAATACAATAGGAAAAAATAAATGGTTTTTATATTTTATTAAAGTTATTTGCTATTATGTATATATCACCAATTAAAATATATTATTAATAAAAGTAAAATAATATACAAAGTAAACTATAATAGTATAACAAATATATAATTTAAATCCTTTGTGTTTTAAACTAGTTTTAAGATGAACAAATTAAGAAGTATAACCAAACATCCCAAACTCAATTACACCTCCAAGCTCACTATGTTCATCAACATTTCTATTTTTCTTCGATTTTTTTTTTCCAAATTGTTTACTGATAACACTTCCATTTGCTCCTTATTCTTATTTATTTCCCATAATATAAAGGCTATATTTGAGAGTAAGGTTTTTAAGGAAAAAAAAGAAAAGGAAGATATCTCTCTTTTTAAAAAGATAACTGTCATGTATAGGAACTCTTTTACTTATGTTTTGAGATTCTTATTATACAAGTTTATTAGTTTTGTAACCTAGGATAAAAATTATATATTTTTTTCTTTTCGTGAATATATATTATTTCAGTATAGAGTCGAGTCATAAGACCTACACAATTTCTTCCAGACGTCGTCCGGTCCACGTTCTCTTTGTTGTCTAGTTAAACCTTGTTCAATCTCATTTGCACCGACTGGATGTATACCTGTTAAGTGCTCCAATGCTAAAATCAGTGATAATGTGATCGATAAGTTAAGTGTTGTATAAATGCGTAATTAACGAACCTGTCTACTTCTTACCTTTGACATGTATTTATAATTTTAGTCGTGAGCTTCGGATTAGCAAAGCCTTAATCACTACCTAATCCATTATCCAATCATCTTTAATCAATGTTTTACTTTAATCATTTTCGAAAACTTATCTAGTATATCTATCCGACCTTGATGTTTGACGTCCGAGGATCACCGGTTCATATATGTATAAATATATGTTAATTTTTTTTTGTGATTTATGTTTTATTAATTAAGTTTTATATTGGGATTGGTTAGTGGAGAAAAAGTTAGAGACCTAAATTAACATGGTCCAAATTCGGCCTAATATATATCAAATCACTCCCTCCAAAAATTAAAATTAATTTTATTTATGTGTAACTTACAATTTAGGAATCAAGTATTCTAACTTACAATTTAGGAATCAAGTATTCTAACTTACAATTTCGAAATATGTAGTCTGATGAGAATATAATATATGTATGCATATGCTAGCTAGAACAGAAAATAAATAAATTATAATATATTTATTATCAGAGTGATGTTTGAACAAGGTTGTTCTCAGTGATTAAACTTCTTGAACCTCGCGGCATGCGGAACAGCATCGTCTCGTTCTCCATCTGTCGTTTACCACTTCATGAGCGTCGTTTCCTCAGCCGTTTCCTTTCCGATGACCTATACGACCCGCCGTTCTCCCCTTCTCCGAAAGCCCTCAAAGCAAACAAGAAAAAGACGCATTCCGAAAACGGAGCTCCGAAACAAAACGGAGCCCCAAAGTTTCCCTTAAAATCGAACCTCCCATTCGATTTCAGATACTCCTATTCGGAGACCCAACCTTCGGCTGTGCCCATCAGTTTTCGCGAATCGCCCAAGTTCTCCCCGTTTGGGCCTGGCCGGCTCGACCGGACATGGACCGGCGTTTCTGCTCCGGTTCGGAGTGAACCGGACTGGAAGAGGGTGGAGGAGGAACAAAACCGGGTTCTCGGAGCGCCACTCAGTGAGGATGAGGTGGTCGAGCTCGTCGAGCGCTACCGTCACAGTGACTGTGTCAGGCAAATCAATTTAGGTGTGTCTTAATTCTCTCAACTATGTTAATATTTCAGGAGAAAAGACAAAAATAAAAGACTTTCGAATTTGTTATCATTTTTTTACGATTGTTCCCGTTCTTTAGACTTAACACTATAGATGCTTGTGTAAAATAACTGCAATGTGTTTACTTTTAATTCTGGCAATTAATTAGAAGTTTATTCTTTTAAATAATTATTACAAAAAGGTCAATTTTATTATACATCGGATGGTTTGAAAAATCTGAAGGGTAGTCACACAACTAGTGAATTTATACTATGAAAGAACAAATTGTTTTATTTAGTTTCTTGAAGCAAAGTGGGACATTTAAAATGTTCTTAATTTTTATGAGATTATTTTGTCGTTAAATTTTAATGTTTAAGGATCAATTTGAAATTAAATTTTGTTGTTTGAGATCATTTAATACCAAGATTGAAGAAATGTTCACAAATCAATTTGTCGTTGAGTTGAGAAAGTTTATAAATCAATATGACATCGGATTATAACTCTTCACTGTTGTATTCTAAGCATTTAGAGAAGATAATTTATTTACATAAATCGATGAGTTGTTATGTAGTTAGCTAATGACGTTTGTGTTTTCCTAGGAAAGGGTGGAGTCACTCACAACATGTTGGACGACATCCATAACCACTGGAAGAAGGCTGAAGCTGTGAGGATTAAGTGCTTGGGTGTGCCAACTCTTGACATGGACAATGTTTGCTTCCACCTTGAGGTCAACATTATTGTTCTGCAGTTTTAGAGGATTGATCATTCTTATTGAGACTCTCTAAATGCGTTTGTGTTGCTGTGTCACAGAACAAGTCTTATGGGAAAGTTATCTACCGCAACATCAATATACTGCTTCTGTACAGAGGACGGAATTATGATCCCAAAAACCGTCCAGTTATTCCTCTCATGCTGTGGAAGCCTTATGCACCAATATATCCTAGGCTTGTGAAGAATGTAATAGAAGGCTTGACATATGAAGAAACAAAAGAAATTAGAAACAACGGATTGAATTCAGATCCTCTCATTAAACTCAGTAAGTGATTATTGGGTATCAGCTTCTCACCAAAGGTTGCTTTTTGGTCCTAATCAAGGTTAAAGTAGTATTGGATTGCTCTATATGCTAAATCGTGATTTCAATATTCAGCCAGAAATGGTGTGTATGTGAATGTGGTGGAGAGGGTAAGGGAGGCTTTTAAGACTAGGGAGGTTGTGAGACTTGACTGTACCCATGTGGGAACCAGTGACTGCAAAAAGATTGGAGTCAAGCTAAGGGTATGTCTAATTGTTTATAGAATCATGATAAAATTCACTGTTTCCTTTTCTTTTGTCGTATGTTAAGGATAGAAAGTGCATGTGGTGTTGAATAGGGTTCCTTTTACTGCAGGATTTGGTGCCATGTGTCCCTATCTTATTTAAGGATGAGCAGATAATTCTCTGGAGAGGAAATTTCAATGAAGAGCAGCCTTCAGATTCACAATGTCAGCAAGTAATACAAAGTTGATCTTCATGGTTATTTAAAATTACTGTATGGCCCCGTTTATTTGACCAAGGACTTGATTTAGAATGAGTTTGTTCGTCACATTTGTATTCATCAAATAATAATTGAATGCTGAAGTCCATATCTGCAGGGTGAAAAAGCATTGATTCACAACTGAAACCCCCAAATCAACTTGCAACATTGAAAATCCGATGGAATGTAACGTAAGAATTCATTTCTGCGAGGTAGAAGGTATAAATGTTAGCTTCTGAGTAAATTTGAAAAACCACATGTGATATGGAACCAAAAATGCCATTGCGAGGTGCCCTCACTCTGTCATGCAGGTTGTCTAATTTTTATAGTTGACGGTCTTTATGTTAGAGTTGATTATTCAATCTGTTTTAGCTACTTTGCGGTTGCAATGTGCAGTGTTGTTAGCATCCTCATGCATCCTTGCAAGGGTTAGATCGTGGATGAGGAATGCTGTATGTTCCGAAATATGTTTATGATGCAGAGTATGAAACAAGCTACTTGGCTTTTTACCGTTTTTGTGCACTCAAGCTCAAAACACATGTATTGCTACGCCAACAGTCTGGTATTATGTGATAAGCAACAACTATATGCAGTGAGAAATCTGCAATTTTTTTTAATAGGAAATAATAATCTATAACAGTTTTATAAAAGTAAGATAATTTTATACGTTTATGATTTTCTAGACTTAGACAAACAAGTATTTTCTCATGTAGCGTTGTATAGTAAAAGAATCTTAGGGTAGCTGATATGAAGCTAGAAAGGAAGCTAAAGCTAGACTACAAAAGACAATTTAAATTTCTATGCCATTCTTGTTATCAAGACATGTCTACATTTAGTGAGTCAATTCCTAAAGGTCATTTGTCTCTTATTCTAACGAAGAACATTCTTAAATTTGACAGTGAGAACTAGAACTAGAATTCGATGTAATTTTTTTTAACCATATGGACTGTTACTTTTCATGTCCGTTCAGGTATTTCAAATGTCTGCCACTGCTTTCTGCACCTCTGTTTTTTTCTGTATAGTCTATAAAATACTCGTTATATATATATATTTGTGATTTTTTGTTTTGTTTTTTAATTTAAGTTTCGAATTGTTTAATTTGTAGATTTTTTGGATTATACATTTGGGAACCAAAAAATGTTATTTTGTTGATTCTATATATAAAATTAGTGCTAGTTTATGTTTTTATTCTTCATGGATTTTGCCAGCATTATCTCTTCTTCGTGGAATATGTTTTCTTCAATACCTTATTGAATTGATAGATACATCCATTTTGAAAAAAAAAAACGCATCACAATAAGTTGTAATAGAATTAAAATGTTCAACAATGTAAATCAAATGTCTGTGACCCCATCAATTCATATGGCTCTCAACTTCTTTAGAAGAAAAGTAACAAAATGCAGAAACTTGTTCTTTATTTTTTATTACTGTGTCAAGAAAATGATCTCTTTATGAAAACGAAAGCATAAAAATTTCCAATACGAGAAGAATGAATTACTAAACAAAAACAAATAAAGAAAAGGAAAAAGAATAAATATACTTCTAATTATACTACCTTTAACCTTAAATGGAATTCAAACTCAAAAGACAAGAGAACACTTAGTATTAAAGAGAGAAAATATACTTTTGAAGGGTTTAAAAGACTTCTCTTATGATCTTGTATTTATAATAATAGAAATGTGTTACAATGAGAAGATGAAAGATCAAAAAGACTATACTAAACTTCTAGGAACAAAGTTAGGTACAACTCATAGATATAGTAGGAAGTAGTTCTCAGTACACTGTCTCAAGTTGTATGTACTAAATTTGGAATAAATAAACTTAATTGAATACTAAATTTTTAAGTACAAATTAGGTATAACTCATAGGTACAATAGCAAGTAGATCTTAACATAATGCTTCTTCGTGGATTGTAGTACATATTCAAGTATACCATCTCAAGTTAGAGCATACAAATTGTATGTATCAAGTTTGGAACAAATAAACTCAATCGGAGGTTCCCTTAAGGATTTGGTTAACATGTTTACAAGTTGGTCACTTGATCCAATAAACTTAGTACAAATTTATTTTGACAATATATATATTTTTCAAATAAAATGGTAATCAATTTATGTGTTTATTCTTTCGTAGAATACTAGATTTGGTGCAATGTGAAGAGCAATTTGGTTATCACAGTACTTCTTCATGGTTAGAATTTAACAAAAGTTAAGCTCTTAAAGTAATTGTTTCACCTATATAAGTTCACAACTAAAATGTCATTGCCTTATATTCATCTTCAATAGTTGGTCGGACCATTACATTTTATTTCTTACTTTTTTTGGAAATAATATTTCTTTCAACGAAAATACAATATCTTGTAGTAAAGCCTTTGTTAGTAGGAGAACTTGCTCAATCAATATCACTATACCCAGTGACTTAGATGTTTCTTTTATCTTGATATAGTAGGCCTTATCCTGGAGTCTTTTTTAAGACTTTGGTCCAAACCATGGACCCATCACAAGGAACATGGATCAAAGGGTTCAAGAAGGTTGGGAAGACTCCATAACAAGAGAAGGGTCGATCACATTACATTAGAAATTGGAACATCAACTACTAAGTGAGATCTCGCTTAGCTACATCAAATGTCGCTTAATGCAGACTTTTAGAGAGCACTCAAAAATACTTCTCACATGATCATCACCCAGAGCTTCTTGCCTCGCACCCAGCGAGTTGCTTTTCGTCCAACGGTTGCTTCTTGCGCCTAGTGCCCGCGTCAGAAGTTTCCAGCAACATGTTTTGCTCGTTTTCCTCACATCTTTAATGAGTTTTTCATGCAAAACCACATGTCTCGTAATCCTGAATCACGACTAATGATTAGGAGAGTACTTTAGGGTCGAATTGGAGGCTGAATGTGCTATAAATTCAATTCTCAACCCTTGTAAACATCACTTTTGAGAATATAGAGAAATGTTGTTAAGATTACTTCAGCCCTTCCTCTTTCAATAGTCACTTGCTTAAGAGCTTCTTAAGCCACCTCTAGCCTCCTCCCTTAGGTAGGTTATGCCTTTCAGGGAGAATTCACCACAACTGATTTCAATTTCTTCAATCACACACACACCTCCTTTATTTTCATCTTTTTGTGGCATCCATTCCATGAGTGTCCTAGCCAATTGAGGTCTTCAAGTGGTAATTAGTTTTTTAGGTACCTTAGAATATGAATGATGGTATTTCAATGACTAATACATAGAGCCTACATGAACTGACGAATAACTCCAACTACAAAAGAGAAATTAGGCCTCGTAATATTAAGATGAATTAGTTTTTCAACTAGCCTCCTACATCTTTCTGGATTAAAGAATGATTCACTTTCTTTTCTCATTAATTTTTTATTTAGGTCCAAAAGACTATCTACTGGTCTACAGTCAATCATACCTATCTCTTGTAGGATATCAAAATCATACTTTCTTTGAGAGGTTATAAGACCATCTCTTGACTGAGCTACCTTAATACCTAAAGAGTATTTGAAGCTCCCAAGATCCTTGGAATTAAAATGTTTACATAAGTACTCCTTCAATTAAGGATATTCTAGTAACATCATTTCTTGTAATGACTATATCATGAACATATATTATTAAGTAAACACATTTCCAAGAGAAATATGACAATACAAAATTGAATGATCTGCTTCACTACATTTCAGCCCAAACTTTTGAACAATTGAGCTGAATTTACCAAACGAAACATGATGGAAACCCATCTAGGGAGTTTGATAGAGATCCATCTAGGGAGCTACAACTTGAACCATGGTTAGGTGAATGGAAGAAGAAGAAGAAGGACTTTAAGAATTTCCATTCTTATAGAAGATGGTGTTTTCAAGCTTGTTATTCCCTTCTCTTAAACCTTGTAAATATGTACATAAGTCTTTTCTTTAGGCTTTGTATTTTGTCCAAGTTCTCATGTCATTTAGGCTTTCTTTTTGGCCATTTCTTTGGATTTGCTTTTGAGATAATCGATTATTTCACCTGATAATCGATTATTCCGAAGAATTTTCAAGTAAAGATGAAATTCTTACTTAAATAATCGATTATCAAATGAAATAATCAATTTTTTCAGTTAGTTTTTTACCATTAGTCATAATATCTTTTCAACATAATTTTGAGTTTGTTACTGTGTTCCATTTAATATGATAAGTGCTAAATTAACCGCCATAAAAAATGTCTACTATGGCATGTCTTCCTAGACTTGTCATATTACATTTTAAATATAATTTCAATTTTATCACTACATTGATATATATGACAAGGTCTCCAAAATTACGTTATAATAAATTTTACTTTTATTATGTCACTGACCAATTTAGTATAACAAATAGATTTCACCTATGTTTTCATAAAAAAAAATTTCCTTGATAAAAGTATGATAGAAGGAAAAGTCGAAAAATAAAAAAGCTATACACAAAATTAGGTACAACTCATACAACATGAAGTTATTCCTACTTTCTATCCAACTCTTAATACTTGTTAAAACTCCTTGTTGCGGAGGAAATGAACAAAAAGAACGACAACGGGTGAGTTTTTAATTATGGACCAGGGATGACTCTAAACAAGCAATGAGTAAATGACTATAAAATAAACCAAAAACTTTACAAAAAGACCATGTGGTCGGTGTGCACAAGGAAAGAGAAGATAACAAAGTCTTCTAAAGTTATATTTCATCAGAGGAATAATATTTTTCTCCAGTAGTTTTCCAATCTTTATCTGTTGCTTTCGACAGATTTTCAATAATAAAGATGTTACGGAATTGGTTATTTTTCTTTTTCTAATAACATTCTCTTGACCCAATAAAGTCCGACAAAATTTCTAACTTATTCTACGTATACTTTTGTGACTACCATAATTTGTAAGTTAATTATCAGAAAATTCCAAAAAATCCTACATCTCTAATTTTGACTATCTTATATGATTATGGCTAAATTATTATTGGATTATATTTTATATTTAACTTAATTATTATTGGATTATATTTTATATTTCATTAAAAAGAGATAATTAAAGAAATTAGAACTGTAACATACTATTATAAAGCTACTAGTTTGGGTGTTGTTACAATAACATGTAGGGATGAGTGATTGTAGAATAACTTATGTAGAGAGAGATGTGCTCCATAATGATGACAATGAGTTAAATAGAAAAAAAAAAAAATAAGGTGCGCAGCTTGTTTAATTATTAAATTATAGATAAAAGAAGGAAATGAATTTGAAATATATTGTTTATTAACCGTAAGGCTCATTATTTATATCTAATGTGTTTTCTCTTTAAAATAACTGTGGACATGTTTTTACAAGATTTTAAGAAAAGTAAAATAATATTTAAAATTAAAAGTTTGAATAAATTTTAGGGTTAAATATGTTTTTAGTCCCTAAATTATTGGCCGTTTCTGATTTTCGTCCCTCTTTCAAAATAAGTTACAATTTGTTCCTCATTCTTTCGAAACTTTGGTTTTAGTCCTCAAAAACTAACACAGTTAAAAATT